ACAGGTTCATATTATACCGTTAACATTACCAAACAAATAGAAAAATGCAATTGCAACATACAACTCTGTTTCAAATATATCAATATCGACCAACTCAAATCTATATGGTTAACAAAAGAAATGGCACCCACTATATTCTTAATAACCTTTAAGAACTTATAAATAGCTTCTCTACTGGGCCTTACTATACTCCAATTATCTCTATTCTTCAATAACTATCTCCTCTGCCACCGACTTATTACACAATTTACTTTATAAACAATGACACAATAACTATTCACAGCTCTCAAACATCTCTTACCTATAATCTAAATCTCAATCCCCTTACTCTTTTCTGGATAATTCTTAACTTACTCTGTTCAGAAGTTCCTCATCTATCTACAATTACTTGTTTCTTTGCATATAAACTTAATACCAAGCTACCCGAATATATCAATTGCCAAATAAAATATTTATACAGTAGTGTCATTCAAAGTATCAACACCCAACTCAAAGAAAAACAAATTTTCCTAACCTGGATTTTTGACAAAAAGCAATTCCCCTTAACCATCCCTCAAGGCAATTCATCATTCCTTTCCACTTTTCATCCAACCAGCTATACCACATCCCCATTAATCGAACTTAATATCTCAACTAGCTTTACGCAATGGATTAAATTCATAAATTACTATATTAATCTTTTCAATATTTTTTTAAGTGAAACTGCCACAAACAAACCTAAAAACCTTTCTGAACTAGACACCATTATTAAACCAACAAAAAATTAAGAAATATTGACAGAATCAAGTTTCGTGCACTTTCCATCTTTCAAACCAAAATCTTAGCAAACCAGCTTCCCACTCAAGCCAAACATCACAAAAGATACCCCCACTCTACGGAGATGACCTGTGTCCCCGGTGCAAAGCCTATCCAGAAACCATGGATTATATTTTCTCCTGTCACCACTGCCTTCCTATACTAAGGAAAAAAAGAAACAAACTTGAAACACTTATTGTCCAAAATATTTCCAAAGAGAAATTGAATTCAAATGAGGCCTATCTCTTCCAAACAACCAATCAAACAGGCAAAACAATATTCAACATAGCTACTGGAAAATTCAATACCCCCTTTAACATTATTTAGAAAAGGGAAGAAATTTCAAATTACTCTCTCAAAATCCTACATAAAATTTGGAAGCAGCACTCAGCAACTGCCACCATCTCAACAACCTCAGGAATCAAATGGAAAAAAACTACTCTGGCAATAAGCAATATTACTAATTACTTAAACACAAGCACTTTTCAGAAAGTTCTTAATATCTTAAAAAATTCAAACAACCTTACCGACAAAAAAAATTTTACACCAGACATAGTATTATCGTTTTGAATAGGCATTAGCCATTTAACACCTTTAGTATGTAAACACCTACTTGGTGCCAATGCATACTAATTGTAAAGTTGCAATAGGCTACAATTAATTTAACTACTATGTATTTTAAAGATTGTTAATGTAATGATGATAAAACTAATGTTTAATAAATGTCTCGCATTTAATGCCTGTTTGTGATTTAAAAAAAAAAAAAAAAAAAAAAAGGAAAGACAGAGAAAGACAAAAAAAAGTGGTATATATTTTTTGAAGAAGATAAAGAAGTAACAGAGAAGATGAGTAATAACTTTAACTCTGAAAATGAGATATAACCAGAAATCTCAGGTCCTGTGACTAGAGCTTAAAAAAGTATCAAACTGATATTGAACTGGTATCAAAATGATACCAATCTATAGTAAATTTAATAGTAAATTTAATACAGTATATGGGTTGTGATCCACTATATAAATTTATAGTATCAAAGTGATATCAAAGTGTTATTGTTAGGAGCCTACCTGTGGCATATGCCACTTAAGTTGAGAAAACATTGTTGGTGGTTAAAGAGGGATCAGTCGAGGTCAATGATACTAAGGAGAAGAAAGGAGGAGTACCAGAAAAGTAATATGGACTAATCAAAGAAGTGAGTATGGGTGAGCAATATGTTGTGGTAATGGAAGAATTACTGAAGACATACAAGAACTAAGAAAAATTGAAGAAAAGAAAAGATATCTTACCGAGAGAATATATGATGAATCCAATTATAGTACTGAATAGTACCCCAATGATCCAGACTTCATGAAACAGTTGGCCTGATGTGTAGAACCCCTGATGACATCCAAAGGAAATTGAGTGGAGACTAGGACAGTCGAAGAACTGGGAGGCCAACCGGAAAGAACGGAAAAGACACTAATAAAGAAACAAGGAGCCAAAACAATAGGAGAACTACCTGATCTACATAAAGATCAAATCGAAGTAGGAAGACAAGGAACAAAGAATGCTGAAGACCTGTGAAAGGAACATAAAGTAAGAATGAAAATGATGCATGGAACTTCTGAAGAAATGAACCAAGGAGTGGTATATTTTGAGGTAATTCAACGAGTAGATGATACTGATAATGATGTTCTGATTAAGCAAAGAGCACTCAAAAATAGCCGGAAAATAGAAGGAGAAGATAAGAAGGGGGAAGATGATTTTTGTGACCACCTGGAGAGTGCATATGCCTGGTGATGAGACGTTCAAGCAGCACACCATCCCGGTATAATTTCAACGAGTTATAAAAGTGTTTATACGAAAGTCTAAAGGAAAGTTTATGACAACATATTCGGATGTCTTCGCAAAACTAACACTTCACACAATGATGAAAATTTATAAGATGGGTTGGAAAGAGAATCCAGAACTACTGATCAAGCGTGAAAATGCGATCAAGAGTATCATCTCGAAATCTAAGTGCGCAGTGGTAATGCAATGCTCCTTTAATTGCGGCAGAGATCTCTCAAATTTTTGGGAAGTGCATAAAACCATACTAACCGCAAGGAAGTCAACCAACAAAATAGTTATGGCGACAACAAAGATGAAACACTCACTTGCAGAGAATGATAGCATTAGAATCAACAACCTACCTGCAGTGTGCTGACCATGAACAATCACACAGTCGCAAGACCATGGAAACGTTGGTGTTATAAAACGAAATTTGAGTTAGATAACATCATCGAGATTAAAAGATAATTCGCAGATAATGCAATCAGGATTGGGAAACGAATAGGATTATATGGCAAACGTACCAAAATGTTAAAGTGCCTCGAGGTTCCTTGGTGTCACGTGACTCTAATTTTGAGTTGGAACTGCGAAGCAACCACAGCTGGCATTGTATATAAGCTATTATTGATAAAAGTCATGAATGATAACGGCATATGCCACAAAGAATTCAATATTAGAGAACATGATAAAAATGAATGCGATTTAATAAGTAACAACGATAATGACGAGAACGACATAGGAACACACAATGATTCGAAAGAATTTACCAAATCATCACAGCTAACATCTAGCTTAATCACTGATGTAAGAACCTCTCATGACTCAAGAAAGGTAGAATGGCAGGTTGAGGTTGAAGTTTGTTCACAGAGCGAACAAAATAAGTGTGAAAGAATGTTGTGGGAACAATAGGAATGGCGAACGCGACATTGTGATGCGTTGCGTAATAATACATTAGGAACATTGATGATAGAAAGATGTAATAATTGGCAATAACATGTAATAGAATGGACGCGTCGACAAAGCATATAAATAGGATAGTTTTAGGTAGTTTGGGAGAGCAGTAGTTCGAGTTTAGCTTGAAACTTAAAGTTTAGAGTTTTAGAACGCTCTTTACTTTCTCTTGCTTATTCAATAAATGCTACAACTTTGCACGATTATATTATACACTCCTTGTAGTATAAACTAAATCTACGCCACTACATTAATGTAAATGCCTTTAAGAAAGAGAGACCGTTGTACACCGTAAAAGAGTGCCACTTGTAATCTTGAGACGAGCCTAGGGAAAGACAGTCAGGAAGAAATTAGCAAGTGCGTGAAAGTTGATCAAATCGCAATTCTCCTCGAAGTCAAAGCCTTACCTTATTTAGTGCCGAAGTTCAAGCGTTCGGATTATCGTCACGCGAAGAGTGAGCCGTTTTAGCACAGACTCGTCAATGACGACAATACATACAGTATTATACACTTACCCATTACTAACTCCTATAGAGATGGTTCATTAATGAAATCTCACCTCATATCTATTATTCTCTTCCATTAATATTACTCAATATAATAAATAAATAATTGTTTAATTTATATAAAACATTAAATATATGCTTTTATAAATGCAGAACCAACGGAGTCGAAACAGAAACCATTAATTATTAAAAAATTTTATTAAAGTTCTACGGTAATAAAATTATTAATTGTTAGTAATGTATTGTCTGATTATATTTATTTTATATTAAAAATATAAAAGCAAAAGAGACAATATTTAACTTAGCGTGAACTGCAACATATTTTTTTATTAGATTAGAGTGGAGTTGTGTTTTTGGCGAGTGTCATGTGTTTATTATTTAGTGTCGTTTTCGAAGATCATTATGCGCGATTATTCCTTGGGAACATCTCTTTTTGGGCAGAAGAAAAATCAATCGACCAATCGATTAGTCGATTAGCTTCTATTTAATCGATTATCAATACTAAACTCTTTTTTTGACGAGTGTTACAATATTATTTTTGTTATTTGTTTGAACGTCTTTTTTTGGCATATAAAAAATCAATCGACTAATCGATTAGTCGATTAGTTGGCACAGGCACCTATTTAATCGTTTCCGGGTAAGCCTTGGGAAAAATAATAGACCAATTTCTGATATAAATCCATGCTCCCAGACATCGGTCCCTTCAAACTTGGAGCCTCCTGTCTAAAAAATTATAAAACATACAAGAGCACCCTTTTCCCCAACAAATTAAAATCTATACGTTTTGTTCATTATATACTGTACATGTTGTGCTAAAGTAAAAAGATGCCCCGCACAAGTGGAAAAACGCGTACTAATGCTACTTCAGCATGTAGATACTGCAAAATAAATCATAAAAGATGCGAAATGAACCATGGAGAGAAAAAATGCACAAACTGCAAAATGTACAATCTGTTCTGTTATTTTACCCCCGGCAAAAAGCGTGGACCAAAACCCAAATCAATCGACACTTCATCGCATGCAGGTCCAAATCAATTTGGAACGTTCCAGATTCTTCCTCTTTACTTCGTTTCAAATTCTCATGGAGAACCATATTTAACGGAGCTTTGTTATATTAGTAATTCTCAAGAAATTGTCCCTTCTCAAACATATGTTAACGATAATTATAACACTATGCAGGAAACTGACTATTTTCCATATAAGTCAGATAACTTCTCGTCTCCTCAACCTGATTTCTATAATAACCATCACGCATTGGCTAATGATTTAGATATTAGTCCCTACGAACAGCCCCCACCAGAATTCTGCAACTCCAATAATTCTCAAGGATTTGCTTCTTCTAACGCATATAACACCATGACTTCAATTGATGACTCTCAAAATACACCTATTGATTTTAACAGCCCGTTGCCCTCTATTCATAATAGCTCTTGAAAGAATTTTATCTAAGTTAGAATTCTTACCGCCCCTACCAAGCATATATTTATGATGATTAAAAGTTTCCAGATTATTACACCTTTTCAATTTAAAAACTTCCTGTTATATGATTGATTATGTAAAAGTGGTAGAAAAATAAGATACTATAGACCTATGATGTCCTCGCCCAATTAGGGTTTAATTGGGGCTTGAGGGATTTTTGTGATTTTTATGATTTTCTGACATGTATAAAAGAAGAGGGCATATATTATGAAAAAATAACAAATAAAGACCTTTTTAAAACAAACTCAGTTCAATATCTAACACTTTCACATACTTCGTGCCAAAATCCACACGCCTCTATTCGACGTTACATGATCGGTGATCGCAACTTAGCGACAGACTCGCCAATTATTACCCCCACAATCGCCATTATTTCTTTTAAGGTTTAACCCAAAGGTTAAAACTTTAATTACTTTTTATTCACCTTATCAAACTATTTCATGCTTACGACTATACCATTTAAAATCCAAACTCTTTATTCTTATTTAAGCAATCTGTCTTGTAAAATTATTATTTATTAGATATAAATTATTAAGGTATTAGGTTAGATTAACAAAAAATTTTTAACGTGTGCATCTACTGTATCTGTACCTCGTTTGTATTTCCTGATCAGCTGACAGAAAATAAATAGTTCTACAGTATCTTATACCTAAGTCACTGTAAAAAATAAGTATAGTAAAATTATTAATTATTATAATGTCTTTTATAAATAAAGAGGGGCTTTATTGGAAAGTTTTAAGTATATTGTGTTGGAACTTTTTGAAATTGCTTATTATATATATGGGTAATTATTTTTGAAGGTGACAAAAATGCTAAATATGATTTTTTCAGACCCAACTTTTAAATAATACATATATAATATAAATTTTAGGATCACACCAGAAAATTTCCAGTTCACCTTCAAAAATAATTACTCATATATTAATATTTAAAATTATTACTAAAAAAATAAATAAGTCTCCAGACAATGATGCATTGTAATACAAGGAATATTAACTTTCTTTGCTTTTAAGCATTTTTCTAGATGCATAAAGTTTGATCAAGTTATACATAAACCTAAACTCTTAATTTTTGGATCTGAATTGATTTTGACTTTGTTTAATTTTGACTTGAAAAATTTATTTTCAAGTTAAAATTCTAGTCCAAAATTAAATTTCATCAGAAATAATTAGAGCCTTTAATAATAGTTTAGCTACTTTTATTTCTTTGTAAAGTCTTTAAAAAACAATAATAAATGAATTAAAGCATTTAAATATGTTTAATTTCAAACAATATCAAATAAATTAATGTAAACAATTAAATATTATTGTTTCAGTTAGCTTTTACAACTCTGCCTTGATATTGATCAAAAAATAATAATATACAATATCAAATTTTAATATATATATATATAATAAAATAATAATATACAATATCAAATTTTAATATATATATAAATATATAATAAAATAATAATAATTAAATTTTATGATTTAATTTTCAATAAAAGCTTATATTCTCTCCTGGAATAGCTGATTCTATCACACAACATATTATTAGGAAAAGACTAATTAACTTTGAAGATATTATTGATATAAATAGTTATCTTTATAATAATTTATAATAATATTATAGAAGTTGCACTCTGCTTGATATTAT